CCAAATGAAGTCTTGAGGTTGCACTTTTCCATCGGTCACCATTGAAATACAATGGAGTAGAGTAGAGTGCTGGTCTGAGGAGTTAATGTTGGGTTCCCTTGAGCCTTAAGGCGATTTCTGACCCTAGGCTGAATCAGGCTCTTAACTAGGTTCCCCTAATGTCAGGAAAGGAAGACAGCCTTAACACTGGTGCGGTTGAGTGGCATGCCACAAGATCTAAACCTTAGGACAGTACATCTCTTACACTGAAGACTATAGAGACCCCCTTCCAATTCTGCAGAATTAGAAGTGGGCCTGAGAGTTGGCATTACTGAAAAGCTCCCTGGGCTTTGCTTGCTGGTCTTCAGATATGGAGATGTCACAGTAGCCATAGTTGGGCCTCCTGAAGTTTATTCTAGGCAGAGAAGGTTAAGGTGTTAGTTTCTGTATTTGTGAGGCTATTAGCAATGTGTGAGGCTAGGTTTCGGGATAAGAGGCCATGTGAAAGTTTTAAAATTAATATTACAAAATAATTTTTACTCTTTATAAAATTACCTTTCTGGGTAACTATAAATAACCTGAAATACATATTTTTAAATATAAAATCTTTGACTAGACTGTCCTAAGAAATTAGTATTTTTTAAATAGTGGTTTAGCTCCTTCCTATACACCATCTTTCATAGCTCAGTCTAGGAACATTAAACTATTAAAAGGTATAAATATTAGAGGCACCTGGCTGTCTCACTTAGTAGAGTGTGGGACAGTTGACCCTCGAGGTAGTGAGTTCAAGCCCCATGTTGGGTATAGAGATTACTTTTAAAAAATAAAATCTTTAATAAAGAAAAAAAGTATAAATATCTAATACTAAAAGTAATAAGATTTTAAAAAGCACAAACTCATGTTTCCAGTTGTTGAGGTCCTGGGTTCTCCATTTAATAGATCTCCATTTAATATATCTCCATTAAATCTATATGGGAAAATAGATTTATTATAAAGTCCATTCCAAAAACATAGGCATTCCTTTATGTAAATATACATTTTTGGGGGAGCCAGGAATGGCTGTTTAATGTATCCTCAGTATCTTAGAAGATTTACATAATCCACTTTTACAAGAGTTGTTCCCTTGGTTAGAATAGTAGTCAGATTGCTCATCTTTCCATATCTCCTTTTCTCATTGTGTTCCTCTTTTCTCCATAGTACAATAAATAAAGAACAATTTTCCAAGAGAAAAAATGACACACTGGATCCCGAACTGTAAGTAGTTCCCATTGAATATATACTTTGATTTTACCTCTTTGTTTCATTCTCTTTGTTTGCATTACAAGTGGAATTTCAGCATAAATCTACACAAAATACGTGCAACATGAATGGCAAAAATGTGAAAGTCTGCATTACAGTTAATATTTATATTTCACTAAATCTATCTGGTAGTTTGGGCCCAAGTGAAGCCCTAGCCTACCTCCGCTCATTGTCATGTGTCCCGTCCTTGTTTCCTATGTTCCATCCCTGTTGTCCTGTTCATTTACAAACGTCTTCATACTCCACTACTTTGTAGTGAGGCCACTTAAGAGTGCTGAACTTAGCCCATATTCTGGGCACTCCTGGAATGGGTAGGATGGCACCAGACTTCTTTGGAAATTTAAACAACAGTGATCTTGCACTTTTTAAAAACAATTCCATTCTTTGGATGCGATCTTGGCTATCTTTTAAATTATCAGGAATCGGGAAATGTTGGGAAGTTTTGATTTGGTTAAAGTTTTTGTTTTAACCTTGACTTTTTGGCTTTTCATTCCAGGTTTGTTGAATGTACAGAGTGTGGAAGAAAGATGCATCAGATCTGTGTCCTTCATCATGAAATCATCTGGCCATCTGGGTGAGGCATTAGGATTTTTTCTAGACTTTTTCATCATCATGAATTTTAGCAAGTTTCTGTCTTTGCAATGATTTTATTATATTTTCAGAGTACTCTCTCTAAAAATTGTTCTAAGATTGGGAAGAAATAAAGTTCCTTTTTTAAAACATTAAATAAGGGACATCTCTGCGGCTCAGTTATTGAGCATCTGCCTTCGGCTCAGGTTGTGATCCTAGGTCCTGGGATTGAGTGCCACATTGGGTTCCCCACAGGGAGACTGCTTTCTCCCTCTGCCTATGTTTTTACCTCTCTCTGTGTCTCATGAATAAATAAATAAAATCTTTAAATAAATAAAACATTAAGTAAGCTAGCATCCCAAAATACAGGTCTTTCTCTTAATTTGCATGCCTGGTTTTAATATATATACAAATATTTTATTCTGTTTTTTAAAATTCTTTCATAATCGTTACACATCAAAAGTAAGTATTTTTGAAAGATTTATCAGTAGAGCTAAGAAATCTCTAGCACCTAGAAACTAGTAAAGAGGTGTTAGAAGGAATTAAATTTGCCATATTTTTAACACTTAAATAGGCTATAGTAGGAAAATTGGAAGATATGGAGGGTGTCCGTGGGGCAGCTCTGTTCTTACCTCTAAGAAAATGTCACGCTGTGAATGGTTTACTAAAAGGTAAAATGGGTTAGGGTTTGAAGTTTTGGAGGGGATGGACAGTAAGTTACATGACTATTGTCCAGTGAAAGAGTTTCATAAAAATGACTACATACAGATTTCAGTAAACAGGCTATTCCTGGGCCCTGTGTTCTGTTTCTGAATATTCTCCACATATTTACTTAAACTGCACATTATCAAAGACTTTGACAGAAGTAAGTGGACTTTTTGACAGAAGTAAGTGGACTTTTGTCCATTGTGAAACTTCTCTACTACTATGTATCTCCTTTCACTTTCTAGGAATGGGGTTGATCATAATTCTGTTCCAAGGTTGGGGATGTCTGTGCATGAAGTGATTTGTTAAGATGGGACCTGAGGGTGCCTGGCTAGTCAGTTGGAAGAGCATGTGACTCTTAACCTCTGGGTCATGAGTTTGAGCCCCACGTTGCGGGTAGAGACTACTTAAATCAATAACTGAAAAAAAAAAAACTGGAAAAAAAAAAAAAAGATGGGATCTTGACACTGTCTTTTGTTCTTTACTTTGATTGTTGATGGTTTGGAGGTCACAGGAAAGAGGTGGGTGGCTAATTAACACATTTCTAGAAAATAAGATGCAGGGGAAATCACAATCATTCGATATGTATCTGTTTTGTCTTTAGATATGCTTTTTTAGTGCTCTCTTTAAAGAGTTGGGTAAGAAGAATAGTTAAGAGACTTGCAGTGATTCTTGTAACTTAAGATGGGTCATTTGGTTAAGGAACTTTTATGTGGTCTCTAGTTTTTGTTAAGAAATTGTACCTAGGGATCCCTGGGTGGCGCAGTGGTTTGGCGCCTGCCTTTGGCCCAGGGCACGATTCTGGAGACCCAGGATTGAATCCCACATCAGGCTCCCGGTGCATGGAGCCTGCTTCTCCCTCTGCCTGTGTCTCTGCCTCTCTCTCTCTCTCTCTCTCTCTCTCTCTCTCTCTCTCTCTCTGTGACTATCATAAATAAAATTAAAGAAAAAAGAAATTAAGGGCAGCCCGGGTGGCTCAGCGGTTTAGCGCTAGCTTCAGCCCAGGGCCTGATCCTGGAGACCTGGGATCAAATCCCGCGTCGGGCTCCCTTCATCAAGCCTGCTTCTCCCTCTGCTGTGCTCTTGCTCTCTCTCTCTCTCTCTCTCGCTCGCTCGCTCTCTCACTCTCTTGGGAATAAACAAAATCTTTAAAAAAAAAAAAAAGAAATTGTACTTAATCACGCACATCCTTATATAATTGGGACAGAGAGAATGTATTAGTCCTACTCTCAAAACTTAACTGATTTACATTCCTGCCAGTAGGGATATATACTTTTGCCAGTGTGATTGTCCAAAAACTGAAATTCCTGTTTATCAGCCAGTTTATATGCCTTTGACATTTCCTCATGTTTTTTTGCCTGTTTTTCAATTAGGCTTTTTTATTAAGTCGTTGTTTTATATGTAGAGAAATATTTCTCCCAGGTTGTCTTTTGACTTTTAACTTGGTACATATATGTAGTAGATTTTGTTACTAGTACATGTTACCTTAAATGTTCATGTAACTGTGTAAGCAAAGTCTTGGTTTACATTTTAGATTTGTCTGTGATGGCTGTTTAAAGAAATCAGCACGAACCAGGAAAGAAAATAAGTTTTCTGCTAAAAGTAAGTTTTAATTTTACAAGTAAATCCTGGCAATACTTGCATTGAAGCATAGTTAAAAATAAACCATGCAAGAGGTGCGTGGCTTGTTCATTAGGAAGAGCCTGTGACTCTTGATTTCTGGGTTGGAGTTTGAGCTCCACATGAAGTGTAGAGATTACTTCAGGATTAGGATTTGAAATGTGCAGGATAGGTGTTCTTTTTCCTACATTTCTTCATATTTAGGGCATTCCTAATTGGGGCTGCATGTGGAAATATGTCCAGAATTGCCATCCCATCAGTGATTACCTCAATTTGGTCCAAACTTTTAGTTGGGGCCTCTTTCAGACCTATCTCACTTGGGTGGTTGGGGTAGTGGTAGTCAAAGATTGTATCCTGGGGTGCACCTGGGTGGCTCAGTTGGGCAGATGCCTTTGGCTTGGGCATCTTCAGCTTGGGCATGATCCCTGGGGCCCTGGGATTGAGCCCCGTGTGGAGCTCCCTGCTCTGCGGGGAGCCTACTTCTCCCTTTCCCTCTGCTCTTCTCCCTACTTGTGTTCTCTAGCTCTCTCTCTGTCAAATAGGTAAAATAAAAATCTTAAAAAAAAAAAAAGATTGTATCCTGTATACAGTTGAGATTATTGCATTATAATATTTGGTTTAATTTTGTGGATACCTTTGCAGTTTTTACTGACCTACAGATTGCTTTTTATTCCTATAAGGCTTCTCATAATATCCAACCATTGTTATTTTAAAATATTACTGCAATCAAGGCAAAGTGCATGTGGATGTTGTATTTTGTAACTTCTGAAATTAGAAGATTTTCCAAGTAAAAAGTTGGGTGGAAAACACCTAGAATTCACTACCATGTTTGCTTCAGCTGCGCATATACTAAAATTGGAATGATACAGAGATTTGTATAGCCCCTATGTAAGGATGGCACACAAATTCATGAAGTAGCTCCTATTTTTAAAAAATTGTTTTCAAGTATTGATCACATTGCTAACTTTTAACAAAATCAGGTTATCCTATTTGGATGGAGAACGCAAAAATGATATTTGATATTGAAGCTTAAGAGTTAACAATAATGTATTTGCACCTTGGCTAACTGCAGAACTTTTCACTTCTGCACTTCTAGGGTTGCCATCTACCAGGCTTGGCACCTTTCTGGAGAATCGTGTGAATGATTTTCTTAGACGTCAGAATCACCCTGAGTCGGGAGAAGTCACTGTTCGGGTAGTGCATGCTTCTGATAAAACTGTGGAAGTGAAACCAGGCATGAAAGCAAGGTATCCAATAATTTTCCCTTTTCTTCTCTTGTGGTTCTACAAGCACTTGACAGTTAACTGCTGATGATTCTGGTTTAACTGAGACCTCATGTTTTTCTCTCCAATCTGGATTATGTAGGTTTGTAGATAGCGGAGAGATGGCAGAGTCTTTTCCTTACCGAACCAAAGCCCTCTTTGCCTTTGAAGAGATAGACGGTGTTGACTTGTGCTTCTTCGGCATGCACGTTCAGGAGTATGGCTCCGACTGCCCTCCACCCAACCAGAGGTAGGACTTGGCCCGCTGCCTTCCAGTTGAGTGGGAGTTTGCAGTTCAATAGGCAAAAAGCATTGTGGGCAAGGAACTATTTGATGTGCTTGCTTTGGAAATGGAAATGCAAACTGTGTTCATAGTAATAAGGAGGGGGATACGAACAGCCTGAAATGAGAAGTGGGAAGCAGACTGTTTTTCAGAAAATGGGCTTAATTCTTGATTGTGTTAGGTGCCTTGCCTGGGAGATAATGTGAAAGAATGTCACACAAGTAAAGTTAGGATATGGTTTAGAATTTGTTTCCAGAATAGTATAAAGGCCAGAAAAGAATGCTACCAGAATACACTTGGATCCATAAATACTAATACACTATGCTTCAAGCACTGCTGGGTACTGAGGCTCACCAGACTCTCCTAAAGAGTGCACAGCCTAGTCATGTACTTAACTGTGACTGTGTGATGTGTATTAGAAATGAGGTGAAAAGAGCACAGAGGAGATTGTGTTTTTAGCCGTATTAGTAAGAACTCCTTATGTGACTTGACATGGTTTCTTTCTCCCCTCTTGATACAGGAGAGTTTACATATCCTACCTTGACAGTGTTCATTTCTTCCGTCCTAAATGCTTGAGAACTGCAGTCTATCATGAAATTCTAATTGGATATTTAGAATACGTCAAGAAATTAGGGTAAGCATAATGACAAATGCTATCTTTAAAAACAATGAGCTTAAACTAATTAAATTTTTAAATAATTACCACAGTGGCATTGTGGTGAAACTTAAAGCAGAGAGGTGACTTTGCTCCCTTTTCTCAGTGTTGCCAGTCGGACAGAAATGGATATTTTGACCATAGTCATACTTATCCCAGATTAGTTTTCTTTTGTTCAGTTAAGGTGTTAGGTACAGTTTGATTGGAAGGTTGGTACTCATTCAGGGCCAGAACCTTGAACTGCAGCTGACCCTCTCATACCTGGGTATCAGAACCAAAATAGACTAGGGTCTGGAAATACTCAAATTAGCCTGATTCTTTACCTTCAGGGTGTACGTGTGCTTGAGAACATTCACTAGCGCACCTTGCAAGTTCTTCCTTTTATCATTTAGCTTTCTTCCATTCCTTGATCCCTGTTGTTGGAATGGATCCATGTTCCTTTGCATTGTAGCTTTTCTTTTGTCTTCACATGCAAATTTGGGATTTGGGGATCCAGGGTTAATAATTTTTTTTTTATAAATTTTTTTATTTATTTATGATAGAGGGGGGGGGGGCAGAGACACAGGCCGAGGGAGAAGCAGGCTCCATGCACCGGGAGCCCGATATGGGATTCGATCCCAGGTCTCCAGGATCGCGCCCTGGGCCAAAGGCAGGCGCCAAACCGCTGCGCCACCCAGGGATCCCGGGGATCCAGGGTTAGCCTCTAAGAAGAACTAGGCAATGTGACACCCATTGTAAGTGCTGTAGGTTAGGCCTGAATCTGGCCTAAGAATTTCAATCTGATTCTGGGTTGTACACTTGATATTGTCTTAGAAAAAAAATCATTGGTTTCCATATTGACTCCACGTTGTAGCATTCTTTCTGGAATAGATGATAAACTTTTCTCTTGAATATTCCCCCTCTTTGTGTTGTTAGATATACAACAGGGCATATTTGGGCATGTCCCCCAAGTGAGGGAGACGACTATATCTTCCATTGCCATCCTCCTGACCAGAAGATACCCAAGCCCAAGCGACTACAGGAGTGGTACAAAAAGATGCTTGACAAGGCTGTGTCTGAGCGAATCGTCCATGACTACAAGGTCAGGAGGAATGGGGGGCGATGACTGATCCTGCAGCTCTGTATTCTGCTATTTGACTATCTTAACAAAAATCTTCTGTACTCCGTTTTTCAAACCAAGAAAAACTCAGTTTTAAATGTCTTAGATCAACAAATCTCTGTTTTAAAGATGTGATGAAAAACGTATTCTTAATAGCCATTCATGATTAGAGGGCATCTCATGATAAGAACTTGAACAGATAAGTTTCTTATCTTTTTTACTGCTGGGGAGAAAAGTAAGAACTGGATGTTTTCCCAGGCAGCAGAGCAGAGCAGCCTGTGGCCATGCAGTTTCCAGTATTTGTGGTTTGGGTTGTTTTGAACATATTTCTCAGTCAGGGGATGGGTGATGGGTACAAGGCAGGCATTCCTCACATTGTATTGCATTGTGTCATCAGCAATAGTAAAGGCTGCGGCGTGATTGATGGGGCCTGAGCCATCAGTCCTCACAGGAAGATGTCCCACTTGGCTTTATAAAGGCAGGTAACTTCCCTATCCTCACAGGCAGGGGAAAGACAGAACCAGAACCACTGACCTCAGACCTTGAGTTTTCACTGTTTAAGACTAAATGTCCCCTTGGGCCGTGGGGCTTAGGTATAAATCTCTCTGCTGCCTTTCTTTCAGAAGACATTATAATCCTTCAGGTTTCTTGTGTCTGCTAGCTGTGACTGCTTCTGAATGATAAATGCTTCTTTAAAAAAAAAAAATCCTACTTGTACCTGGGTATTTTCACAGGATATTTTTAAACAAGCTACTGAAGATCGATTGACAAGTGCAAAGGAGTTGCCTTACTTTGAGGGTGATTTCTGGCCCAACGTTCTGGAAGAGAGCATTAAGGAGCTAGAACAGGAGGAAGAAGAGCGAAAGCGAGAAGAAAACACCAGCAACGAGAGCACAGATGTGAGGGCTTTGCATTTTCCTTCCCAGCTTCCACCTTGATTCTCGAGTGTAATCTGCCATCAGGCTTCAACTTTTGACTTGGTCTTAAAGCTTTCGGTGTGAAAGAGCTTTATTTTTTATTATTATTTATTTTTTTTGGGGGGGGGGGAGAGCTCTTTAAATTGGTGAAGAAATAATTCTGTTTCAGTGGTTTTCAACCTTTTTAGCATCAGACCTCATTTTAACTGAAACCTTGGATTTCTGATAATGGAAAACAGAAGGAAACCCTGAAAAACTGATAGAAAACTAGCTACATAGAGCAGGAGGCTGGCAAAAGTACTTTCCATAAAGATTCAGATTGTGAATAATTGGGGCTTTTGTTTTTTTTTTTTAAAACACCACACCACTTTATAAGTGTACAGAGCATTCTGGGCCTTACAAAAACAGACCTAGGTCAGAGATTGCCAGGAGGTTTTGTGAGGAGGACATTCTGAGGAGCTTTTCCTGGTTAGTAATTTTCTGATAGCATAGCTGCAATGGTCTCCGTTGAGTCTGACCTAACTAAAGTCTCTCATAAGTAGCAGCCTGTTAAATTCTTCACGGTCTTGTAGTTTGAATTCATTGATTGTCTCTGCAAATTGCTTTGTTTTTTTTATAGTAGGCCCATAAAATTCTAGGATGTTCAATATTCCACTGTTCTACTCCTTGTTCCCTGTCCTCAAATCTGGAATAGGATGGATGCATCTGAGGAGTCTCCAAACTGTGGGGCTCTTCTAGCCAAAAAGCTAAGGCTGTTTTATTGAAGGGTCTTAGTGTAGGGATTCTTCCCTGGAAGAACACTAGTGCTGAAACCATAGTAAACAGTCTGCTATAAATACCAACTCAAATAGGTGAGTCTGTGACAAGAGGAGCTGGTAGAGGCATAAGCTGAGAATCTCTAGTTTCAAAGAAAAGGAGAGGGATCCCTGGGTGGCGCAGTGGTTTAGCGCCGGTCTTTGGCCCAGGGCGCGATCCTGGAGACCCGGGATCGAATCCCACGTCAGGCTCCCGGTGCATGGAGCCTGCTTCTCCCTCTGCCTATGTCTCTGCCTCTCTCTCTCTCTCTGTGACTGTCATAAAAAAAAAAAAAAAGAAAAGAAAAGAAAAGAAAAGAAAAGAAAAGAAAAGAAAAGAAAAGAAAAAAGAAAAGGAGAACCCTTCTACCATTAGTATTATTCAAATTACTTCGTAACAAAAATGTTAACATTTTCTTGTCCTCTCTGCTAACCTGCAGGTGACAAAGGGAGACAGCAAAAATGCTAAAAAGAAAAATAATAAGAAAACCAGCAAAAACAAGAGCAGCCTGAGTAGGGGCAACAAGAAGAAGCCGGGCATGCCCAATGTGTCCAATGACCTCTCGCAAAAACTGTATGCCACCATGGAGAAGCACAAAGAGGTACCATGTGGCCACTTAGGGTGGGAGGGGCAGGGAAGGAGGTCGGAAGCTGTCCACCATGGCTAGCATTTAAGATCCAAGCACAGCGTACCTTCTGAAGTTCAGAAGGAAAAAATCATTTGAGGGATAAGAAGAAAATTGCATAGCTTGAATAGGAGAAAAAAAACAGGCAATGATAGGGTTTCTCAGGTTGGCAGCTGTCACAAGTCTCATTGGTGTTGGATTGTCCCACGCATTAATGCATAAGCATAGTTTGTCCAACCCTCTTTGTAATCCTCAGGGTTTTTGAATTCTGGTGGGTGCCTCCCTTTGATATT